GGGTTTTGGGTTGGGTAGAGGTGTTTTGGGCCTAGGTTCAAAATTGAAGAAGAGGTCAAATTCCGATTTTCTTTATATTTTTTTGCTCTCTTTTCTTTTACTTTCTAATTAATAAAACTAAAATTCTAAATTAAGTTATAAACTAAATTAACTTATCAAAAATACTAATTAATTCCTAGCAACAATTATCATACATAATTAAACACCAATTAAAACAAAATTGCACAATTTGACATTAAATGCTAAAAATGCAAACGATGCATATTTTTGTAATTTTCATTCTTGTAAAACAAACTTAATTACTTCTAATTGTAAACTTAAATCCTAAATGCAAATGCAATATATTTTTGTATTTTTATTAATTTAACAAATAAATATGCACAGACAAATACCAATAATTATCCAAAAATGCCACGAAAATTCTCAAAATTGCACACAAAAGAAAATTATTTTATTTTGAATTTTTTGGGAGTAATTCTCTCATAAGGCAAAAATCACGTGCTTACAGTACTAAATAGAGAATTATTATTTCAACTTAAAATAAATGTGTAAGATACAAAACGAAATTAACGAAATTTTAATTAATTTTTTCTCAAAAAAAGATACTTACTATAACTAAATTATACACAAAATTTAATTAAATATACCTATAGTAATGTATATGATACCTATAGTAATGTATATTGTTCACAAATAAGGTCAAATACAAAGCTTGTACTAAATAAAGAATTATTATTTTAACTTAAAATTAATGTGTAAGATACAATGATTCTTTCTCAAAAAAGGATTCATACCATTACTGAATTATACATAAAATCTATATTATACACCAATTTAATTAAAGATACATATAGTTATAGTATATTGGCTTGCTTAATGAAAATTGCATCCTTTTTTTGTTGTACGTCTTTGATCATTAAAAAGAGAACATTTTTATTTTTAGTTTAAATCTTCAAATAATTGTCTTTGATTAATTAAAGAATGAAATTCAACTTACATAAAATCTTGGACTACTACTTCCATTAAATATGTTCCCATTTATAATTCAATTTTTTTTATATTGCCTTTAAATTGCCAAATGACTTCATTTTAGCTTGCCACTTAGTTTAACCACATGCTTCACTACTCTCCTTTTAATATAATATAGATAGATTGAGTATGATCTTATTTTGCTGAATTTATTTAATTTTTATACTCAATAAATTTTTAATATCATAAATAAATTTTAATTTTATTTTATATTTTAACATACTCCAAAATAAAAATAGTCATAGATTATCTCAATTTACGTATTTCTGTATTTTTTATTTTTTTCTATTATAGTTTTTTAATGTTTAATTAATTTTTCACTCCCATATTTCTAGCTAATATAGAAGAAAATCTATGAGTGAATCAATATATAGATATAAATATAGATATACATATAGATACAAATATACATATAAATATAGATATATAGATTAGATTTGTCTAAGATCTATTTAGATTATGTATAAGATTCATTGAATTACTTTCATTAATTATATTTTCATTTATAATTTCTAATAATTAATGTTGTCTTAAATTGCTAAGTGGCTTCATTTTAGCTTGTCACTTGACTTAATCACATGCATCACTACTCTCCTTTTAATATAATATAGATAGATAGAAGATTCATCATATACCTTTCATATTGTAATTATTCTACAATGAATTAAAATAATTTCTATTTTTCATATACTACAAAATTAATATTTTTCTTTGAAGTGAATTTAGCTACAACTATTTTTAGGGTAATTGGGTAAATACCCTCTTCCGTATTAGTACTAGATTTTATTTTTTCTAGAAAATAAAAGTTTCCAAGTCCTAGTTGACTAATTCCTAGTACAACATCACTTTTAAGTCAGTGATTCACGTGCTCTGTGCACATAGGACCGAGGGCAAGAACACACATAAGATACCCTTTTGTTCTTTCTCAAAAACTGATAATCAAATTTTGTTTTGTTGTTTTTGGAATCAGAAGCGAAAGATCCAGAATGGGAAGCAGAAATAGAGGTGATGTAAATTACAGAAATCCATGTTTGACAATGCATCAGCCATGGGCTTCATTGCTTGTTTATGGTATTAAACGGATTGAAGGAAGATCTTGGTCTGCCCCTATTAGAGGTGAAACTTCCCTCTTCTTACTTTTTAATTTTTTAATTTTTGAGTTCAAGTTTGTTGTTATTTTCTAATTGAATTAGACACCCTTTTGTTAATTCTTGGTTTCCTTCTCTTTTCCCTTTTTATGGGGGGTATGTAAACTTTAGCCCTTTTATAGCTGAGTTCAGTTATGACGGTGTATATGAACAGTTTTACTGTTGCTTGTTTGTTAGCATAAACTGGGAAAGTTACCCTTTTTATTTGGTTCATCACTGATATCAGTAAAAGCTACAGTAAACATATTTTTTTCTTTCTGAATTTGGTAAATTTTTTTATTGTGATGATGTGGTGGGTAGGTAGGGGGAATTTGAAGAAAGGGAGGGAGTGTGTCTAATTTTTCAATAAAGAATGCAGTCAAACCTCTCTATAAATAGTCCCGTTTGTTTCGATATTTTTTGGCTAGTGCTGTTACAGAGGACATATATTATAACATAACATAAGAATCGGTTTCAAAAAAAAAAAACTTGGTTTTTACGGTGAATGACTGTTATATAGATATGTTTTTATAGAGAGGTCTGATTGTATATCATGTGTCAAAATCCTTGCTATGCTTGGCCACAAGTCTAATACTATATCAGTATACAAAGTATGACAGATTTTCCTTTTTGTCCCATAACTGTTTGATAAACCAAATTAAGAAAAGGAAAAATAGAAAGTAGAGTAGGATGGCCATGAGTCAAACTAGAGGTTGTGACGTGTCAATTTTTAGCTTCATTGTTCTCTAATATGTTTAATGCTTAGGACTTTGAAGTACTTTCGTCTAGGGTATCAATGTTGATTTCTGTGGCTACCTTGTTGAGAAGAATGCATAGTGTAAAAGTTAGTTAGGATGTTAGAAGTTAGTTAGTGGGTCGCATGTACAGCTGTCAACAGCTAATATATTATTAGGTAGTTAGTGGTTAAGTGATGTATATATATACACAAGTACAGTACATGAAGAAATGGATTCGATATTTTCCAAGCTTTGCTCAATTACTCTCTTCTTCCTTCCTCTGTTCTCTTTGCTCCTTCAATGGCTATGCCTCTCTTAACATGGTATCAGAGCCTCGGCTTAATTCCGGTGGGTTCAACAATGGCAGACGAGTAAGGAGAAGGTACAATTGAGCTAATCGAATCCAGAATCAGTTTCATCTGGCTTAATTCCGGTGGGTTCATCTGGTTCAAGTTGCAGTTGAAGATACGATCTCCTCTTCTAGTTAGGGTTTGCTGATTTTGAGCAAATTCACCAACTGTTCTGAATTTTTTCAACAATTTGAGTAAGTAACTCTCTTCAATCTACAAGTCTACAAAATTAGTATGCCGATCAATGAAAATGAGTCTACTTTGACTACTGTTACATCACCTCCATCTGATACTCAGAATACTAACTTAGTTCATCACAATCATCCTTTGTATATTCATCCTTCTGATACTCAAGGTGTTGTTCTCATCTCGATTTAGCTTCGAGGATCTAAAAACTGCTCTCTTTGGAGTAGATCTATGAAAATTGTGTTGCATGGCAAAAACAAGTTAGGTTTTGTGCTAGGAACATGTAGGAAGGAGCTTTATGATCCAAGTCTTCATGAACTTTGGGATCGATGTAATGCTATTGTTTTAGCATAGATAATGAACATTGTAGCTCCAAATTTACTGAGCACTGTGATCTATGCATCTAATGCTCACAAGGTTTGGGAATATCTTCGTGAAAGATTTGATAAGGTGAATGCTGCTAGATCATTTTATCTTCACAAGGAAATTGCAAAATTGACTCAAAATCTGCTAACAGTGTCTGAATATTTCTCAAAACTTAGAGAGTTATGGGATGAGTATGAAGCCTTAGCTCCTCCTCCTTCATGTGGATGTCCTGAATCCAAGCAACATGCAGAACATTACCAACTACAGAAATTGTATCAGTTTTTGACTGGTTTAAATGATTCTTTTGACAATGCTAAAGATCAGATTCTTATGATTAGACCACTTCCAAATGTCAATCAGGCCTATGCTATGGTAGTTAATGTTGAGAGTCAAAGGAAAAACAGTACAACTGTAAGTGTTGGCATTAGTGATCAACAACACTGATGAGTAAAGCTAATGCGGGAAATGGAAATAGCAACTTCAAACCTAGAAATAGTCTTGGGAGACCTACACTACAATATGACTACTGTCACTTGAAAGGTCATACCAAGGACACCTGCTATAAACTCCATGGATACCCTACTGATTCAAGGCCAAGAGAAGAGGTTATTCAGGCCCTCAGGTGAACAATGCATTTACTGCCAGAGGATTTCAACCTTCTGACCTTCCTTAGCCTACTCCTCAATTTTCCGCTGCTCCAGTGTTTACTCAAGAACAATATGATCAGATTCTGCATATGCTGAACAAAGGAAAGCATGTAGAATCAGTGGCAAATGCAGCAACTATGAATAACACAGGTACTATAAGAGCCTTCATGTCTCATCTAGTTAATGGTAACTGGATAATAGACACAGGGGCCTCCAACCATATGGTACATAATTCCAAGCTACTAAGTGAAATCAAAGATCTGACTAGTATAGACCATAACAAGGTTCATCTTCCTAATGGTGAGCAGATTGCTATCAGTCACACGAGAGTTTCCACAATCTTCAAAACTAAATCATTACAGAATGTATTATACATTCCAGACTTCAAATACAGCTTGCTTTCAATCTCAAAGCTCACAAAGGAGTTAAGATGTCTTGTTGCATTCTTTCCTAACTTCTGTCTTTTTCAGGATCTCTTGAGTGTGAAGGTAATGGGGATTGGTAAGGAAGAATGTGGACTCTACATCCTAAAGCCAGATATTCCTGAAGGATCAGTGCATCAGCTGAATGCAAAGCACGGTTACAATCTAGTATCTTCTGTAAATAGTATCTCTAGTTTCAATAAGGCAGTTCCTCCTAAGCCTACTAAGAATTGTAGTGTGCCTTTGTGGCACAAGAGATTAGGACATGCACCTCTGAAAGTTCTACAAAAAATTAGTAGTTTACCTTACATTCCTATGCAAGATCATCATTGTACAGTGTGTTCTATTGCTAAGCAATCTAGACTGCCATTTCCTCACAACATTTCTTGTTCTACTCTTCCTTTTGAACTTGTGCATGCTGATGTCTGGGGTCCATACAGGGTTCCAACTCGTGATGGTAAAAGATACTTTATGACATTGGTAGATGATTTCTCTAAGTACACATGGATTTTCTTAATGAACACAAAAGCAGAATTTGTTGTTCTGCTGGAAATGTTTTTAGTTCAGNCTTTTGAACTTGTACATGCTGATGTATGGGGTCCATACAAGGTCCCAACTCATAATGGTAAAAGGTACTTTATGACATTGGTGGATGACTTTTCTAAGTATACCTGGATTTTCTTAATGAACACAAAGGCAAAATCTGTTGTGCTGAAAATGTTTTTAGCACTAGTTCAGACTCAATTTGATAACAAGGTTAAGTGTCTCAGGTCTGACAATGGTACTGAGTTCTTCAATGAGCAGGTAACTAGTCTTTAGTTGTTGTATGGAATTATTCATTAGAGTTCCTGTGTCTATACACCTCAGTAGAATGGCACAGTTGAGAGAAAACACAGGTCTATTCTTAACATGGCAAGAGCCTTGAGGTTTTAAACCTTTGTTCCACTCCAGTTATGGGGTGAGTGTGTTTCTACAGCAGTCTATCTTTTGAATAGATTGCCTACTGTCTTGTTGAAAGGAGCTTCTCCATTTGAGAAACTCTATAGCAAGGTCCCATCTCTCCCGCACTTGAGAGTCTTTGGCAGTCTATGCTATGCCACCTCTATAGCAAATCTGATAAATTTAGCCCCAGAGCTATTCCTGCTGTCCATCTTGGCTATTCTTCTGTGCTAAAAGGATACATTCTATATGGTCTTCACTCAAAACTATTCTTTGTAAGCAGGGACACTATTTTTCAGGAGGATGTCTTTCCTTTTAAGCATGACATATCTGGCTCTTCCCCTCTATTTCCTATTTTGGATCTGTTAGAAGCTGATTGTTCTTCTCCTCGGTACATCCCTTCTTCTAGAACTCCTACACCTGTCTCCTTCTTCTGTTCCAAGTCATCAGTTGATTCTCCTCAACCACCTTCTTACCCTCCATTATCCAGTCCTTCTCCCATTGCCGCTCCTCCTCCTATTAAGAAATCATCTAGGACCTCTGTTCCTCGTATATGGTTAAAAGACTATGTTGTACCCTCCAAAGAAGCAGTCTGCAATTATCCCATTTACCAGTATGTCTGTTATGACAAGCTGTCTCCTGCCTATCAGGCTTGTATTGCTGCATACTCTGCTGTGTCTGAACCTACTTCCTATGCTGAGGCCAGCACTGATCCTAAGTGGATAGAAGCCATGCAGGTTGAAATTGCTGCTCTTGAGGAAAATCAGACCTGGTCCATTGTTAATCTACCTCCTGGCAAGACTCCTATTGGCTGTAAGTAGGTGTTCAAAGTCAAATATAAGTCCACTAGGGAGGTGGAGAGGTATAAGGCTCGACTGGTTGCTAAGGGGTATAGTCAGCTTGAAGGGTTGGATTACAAAGAGACTTTCTCTCCTGTGGCCAAAATGGTGACAGTGAGGTTTGTGGTGGCTTTGGCTGCAACATCTGATTGGTTCATTTTTCAAATGGATGTGCACAATGCATTTCTCCAAGGAGACCTTGAGGAGGTCTATATGCAGATTTCAGATGGCTTTGCCAGCCAGGGGGAGTGTCATCAGAAGAAAGCATGCAGATTGCATAAGTCCTTGTATGGACTCAAGCAGGCTCCTAGACAGTGGAACCTAGGAATGAGATTTGTTCAATCTCATTATGATTACTCTCTTTTCACACAAAGGGTAGGTGGTGAATTTGGGACTCAAGCAGGCTCCTAGACAGTGGAACCTGAAGCTGACTTCTGCTCTCAAGGATATGGGATTTGTTTAATCTCATTATGATTCCTCTCTTTTCACACAAAAGGTAGGTGGTGATCTGATAGTAATCTTAGTGTATGTTGATGACCTGTTGGTCACTGGGAACAATGTGGAGCTTATTCATCAAGTGAGGACAGACTTGCAAGCTACGTTCAAAATGAAGGACTTGGAAGAATTAAAGTTCTTTCTGGGAATTGAGTTCTCTAAATCTAAAGAAGGAATTATTATGAATCAAAGGAAATATGCTCTTGAGCTAGTGTCTGAGCTGGGATTGGCTGGTGGTAAGCCTGTTGCGACACCTCTTGAGTTTAATCATAAACTCACCTCAGTAGCATTTGATGAATTCATGAACAAAGGGGAAGCCTCTACAGATGCACAACTTGAGGACCCAGGAAGCTATCAAAGACTGGTTGGCAGACTGCTGTACTTGACAATGACAAGGCCAGACATTGCCTTTGTTGTTCAAATATTAAGTCAACACATGCATGCTCCTAAGCAGTCACATATGGAAGCAGCTATAGGAGTAGTCAAGTATATCAAGAGAACTGCAGGTTTGGGACCTTTATGCCAGCAAAAGGTAACAAGGAACTAGTTGCCTATTGTGATTCAGACTGGGCTTCATGTGTGGAAACAAGGAAGTCTATCACTGGTTATATAGTTAAGTTTGGTGAAGCTGTAATCTCTTGGAAGTCCAAGAAACAAAGCACAGTTTTCGTGAGCTTTACAGAATCAGAATTCAGGAGTATGGCAGCTACTGTTGCTGAAGTCACTTGGCTAGCTGGTTTGTTTGGAGAGCTTGGAGTTGCAGTGAACAACTCTGTGCAGTTGTTCTGTGATAGCAAAGCTGCTATACAGATTGCAACACATCCCATATTCCATGAAAGAACAAAACACTTTGACATTGATTGTCACTTTGTAAGGGAGAAAATTCAGAGTGGTCAAATTCAACTATGCAAACCACAACATGAGTATTTGATTAGCAAGCTGGGAATGAAGAACCTCTTCCATCCCTCAGCTTGAGGGGGAGTGTTGAGAAGAATGCATAGTGTAGAAGTTAGTTAGGATGTTAGAAGTTAGTTAGTGGGCCACATGTACAGCTGTCAACAACTAATATATTATTAGGTAGTTAGTGGTTAAATGATGTATATATATACACATGTACAGTACATGAAGAAATGGATTTGATATTTTCCAAGCTTTGCTCAATTACTCTCTTCTTCCTTCCTCTGTTCTCTTTGCTCCTTCAATGGCTATGCCTCTCTTAACATACCTTACCCTGAAAGTCGAGTTTAGTAGAGGGATGAAACGTTTATTTATTTAGGTTGTCTTCAGCTTATAGATTTTAGAAAGTACTAATGGTTTAGTAGACCAGTAGGTCTTCCCTTTGTATAATTTGGGTGGTTTGGAACGGGAGAAACAATAGGTGGTTTGAGGATAGAAGAACATGTTTCTCCCTTTGTATAAAAGTTTTACACAAAATAGATGAATGTTAAAACTTTTGAGCTCCCTACATAGCTAAAGGATGCTATGTTTTCTCAATATATCCGTGTAATGTGCACTGTCTTGGTGATTTAATTATTAAATAGCTCACAAGTAATTTGATCGATAAGCATTCTAGAAGCTAGTGGTGTTGTGGTGTATAGGTTGCAAAGCCATATCCGTGTAATGTGCACTGTCTTGGTGATTTAATTATTAAATAGCTCACAAGTAATTTGATCGATAAGCATTCTAGAAGCTAGTGGTGTTGTGGTGTATAGGTTGCAAAGCCATATCTGACCCTATTTGCTTCACATTGTCATATTCAAATGGATGTATTCCTCATGATGGCGTATTCTCCGGAAACATGACTTCTAAATTATTGGAAATATGGATTAAATTTTCACTAAGGCATCATATTAAACATAATGCGTAGGCTGTTTATGAGTTTTCCACACTAAAATATGTTCTGTAGATACTTATTTCTTCGAAAAGCCACCCATGATTCTATCTTGTTTTCATCTTTGCCAAAGAAAAGGGAAGAAATGTGCCTGGGAAAAATAAAAATGTTTTGAATGATTTCAGTTGGTAAAAATGCTACATTGTGATCCAAGTACAGCGTTTATCTAAAATATTGGACAATGTTTTGTGATATTGAAATTTGAAAATAGTAGGTAATTGAGCCAAAATTATACTGTTAAGAAGTGCGCAACAATTGTTCAGATTGAACAACAGAATCCTACTTCATGACCTATGTTTGGTCTCTGATTTGAAAATGTGTAAAAATTAGCCTTATTCTTTTAGGTACCTATTCCATGACCTACATCCTTGTAATTCTTCACCAGTAATTTGGTCTATTTGACTCGAGAATGTGTAAAAAGTAACCTCTTCAATTCCTTGTGATCTAATTATAATGTTTGTTTTTTTCCTTTCATGAAGGTCGACTTTGGATTCATGCTGCTAGTAAGATCCCAGAACCAGAGACTATAAAAGCAATGGAGGACTTCTACAGGGAAATCTATGCAGTGAATGGCGTAACAGATCTCAAGTTTCCGGAGCATTATCCAGTCTCAAGACTTCTAGGTGACAAGTTCTTTACCACATAGTTTTGCTAGCTAATTAATTTTTTTAGTTCTGGTTTTCAACTAAAATTTCTTCGAGTCGAATAAAGAGTTGGATCGGGTTTCCTATATTTATGATATCATATTTGCTTGAATAGATCAACGAAGTGCTGTATCAATGTCCTATTTAGAATTCATGTTTTGAGGGGTACAAACTTATTGACAGCATATTATGGCCTGAACTTGATCGTGTCAATTAGTTCCAGTTTTTCTACTGTCTAATCCTTTGGGTGTCGTTATTTACTCCTGCCTTAGAAGCTGCTTTTTGACATTTTTGGTGTTGCACTCGTGTCGACACAACATGGGTGTGAGTGTGGGATCCGTACCGGATATGGTCAATTGATTTTGGGTACTTTGACCAAAACCGACAGAGAAATTCGGGACAAATACAACGATTTCTTAAATCAAAACAAAAACTAGGGTGAAATTGAAGAAAATGGATACCTTGTACATAGAAATTTCTCTATCAGTCCTTTTCCTTATTATCTCCTTCCTGTATTCTCATCTTGATCAATATTCTCCTTTTCAGAATACAATGTAAGTTTTCACATAGTGTCTCATAATGTATACATAGTTTTATAAGTTATAACTCTATTTTTAGATATTTAAATTATTTTTAGCCGAACCCGCACCCGTAACCTCCGAATCTTAAAATTTAGATCATGTAAGATCTGACCTCTAGATCTGCACCCGTATCAGACACCCGCACCCGAGTCCGAGCAACTTAAGTGCTAATTTCTGAAGGTGATTTGGATGACGTATATCAATTCTTCATCTTTTAATTTATGAATCTATGTGGTATCTAGTCTCCATCATGAAATGCATGTCCGTGATTCTTTCTTGCCTATGTCATACTAAGTTCACCAATGATAACTGGATAAATCAGAATTTGGCAGATATCTTCCCCGTCTCAGTTCTTGGTTCTCCTAAAAGATTTGTAATTCACTTTCTTAATCTGCATTTTGGCGTAAACTATGATCACACTTCTGTTTTCTTCAATATGTTATCGTCCGAGATGAACATTGTAAAAACTTTTTGAAACTTTTGCTTTGCATAGGTTGTGTTGAAGTAGTTGGGTGTGTCACATGTGAAGAGCTAGTCAGCTGGGATCAAATTCCAGAAGGGGTAAGCTTTAAAAATCTCCTAGTTCATATGCACTGATTCAGATCATTTCTCAAATATTTTGATCTTGCTTTTGTTATCTGTTTTTCTTATTTGATATGTTTTGCTTACAGGTGAGGCTAGAAGGGCAAACAAAGTTTTGCTGGCTTTGTGAGCAACCACAGGTACTTTGGTTTATTTTGGGAGGCTTTATTTGTTTCGTTCGTATTATTTCCAGCAAAAGAATCATTTTTTTTCCTTTTAATTCGTGCAGAAACTTATCGTACCATTTGAGATGCGAGGGTTCCAAGGCGTTTATAACTTGGAAAGAAAGGTATTAAGAAATTGAGAAATTTGATTGTCTCATTTAAGCTCATTTTGCTGTTGCCTCTTTAATCTGTTCTTCTTTCTTTTTTCGAATTTTTTTCTTCAAGATATATGAAGCTGCAATCCGAGGTATTTCTCCCATTGCGCCCCCACTCCCAGTGAAATTTCCCCTTCCAAATCCACGGGATCCTTTCTCTTTGAAACCAGGATCACTTGCTTCTTTCCTTAATAGCTCCAGTACATCCGAGGTAAATCGATCTGAAAATCTTGCTGCTGCAATAGCTGGTGCTCGAGCGGCTGCCACACAGTTTTCTAAAAACAGTAGTTCGCAGTCCAGTACAGTCGAGGTAGGAGATGAACATATTTCCTCAAATACAAGGAACAAATCTAGAAGGATTCAACGATAATCTAGTTGCTAGCTTTGTTTCAGAAGCTTGGTTATCTAATTTCATCGTAAGGTAGCGGCTAAGATATCTACTGAATATTTGATGAATTATTACTCTTTTTGGAAGTCTAGTTATTTAGTCAGGGGATGTTGTTGCGATTTTCACTTCTTTTTGAATTTATGATGTGTAGACTGCTAGTCAAAATGCTCGTTTGTATCATATTCTTTTCGCGTAAACTGCTAGCCAAAACGCTCGTGTACCATACGCGTTTTCTGTTTATGATCTCTTGTAATTAGGAGTATCATGTACAATTATGAGATTATGTAAATGTAATTTAGAGAGCTCCACCTTCTTTAAATCGCATGCAATTTCTCCTATGCACTCATTTTAAAGTTTTCAATCGTATGCTTCCTTAGCTGGTGATTTCTGCTCCAAGCTTTCATTCAATTCTCTCGTTTGGTCACTATATATGGTCTTGATATTAGTCTAGTGTAAGGAGGTTATCTTCGGTTGGTGGAAAGTAATTGCACTGAAGTTAGTTGTCTTGCCTTACGTTGCCCTTCCAAGACATCTATTTGGAAGGTGCCACGTAGGCTTTTGGGTGCTTTGATTTTCAAATTTAAGCGTCCGGTCAAGAATTTATTTAGATATTCAAAATATCTCTATATATTCATGTTTGAAATTTCTTCGTCCTGAAGGGGAAGTTTGTCTCTAAGTAACCTATAGGTTACGGGCTCGGGCGTAGAAGCAGTTATTAATACTTTCATTAGGGTAAGTTGTCTACATCACACCCCTTAAGGTGCGGCCCTTCCCCGGACCCTTCATGAACTAGGGATACCTTGTGCACTATGCTGCCTTTTTATTTATTTGTTTATTTATTATTTTCTTCATCCTTTAGTACATAAAGTGATAATGGCCTAAACATTTTCTTAAGCTCTAGTCATTTTATCAATAATTGCTACTACTATATACGAACTTGGACTTCCTTCTGTGGCCTCGAATTGTGATGGTATAACATGTTATGATTACTAAAAACAAATAATATTTGAATGAAGCTATGAGCCGATCGTAATCGTAAGTTATTGTTGGTGCAATGTCATTGTCGTTTAGAGTTATTGTAATTATGATAATTCCAAAATGGTGATATTGATGTTTAATAATTAATAATGTCCATAAATACAATACCATGCTAGCTCTTGTATGTGCATTCCTCTTGAAGCCAGAACTCCTGTTTCTTCCTTTTTCTCAAAATATCGAATATATCAGATTTTTTTTTAAAGGAGTAGAAGAAAATTGAACAATAAAGCTTAGATAGTCTTAAAATTACAGTTTATCTTAATCTCTATGAAAAGTCCAAGCATCTGTGTATATTTATGCAGTTTTTTCCCCCTTTTGGATTAAGAGTTATCGATAAATATATATATAACACAGAATTTTTCGGAACAAGGTGAAAAGAGACTTTGGAAGATAGCCCTTAGGCCTTGTGTTCAGTGGCGAAGTCAGAAGTTTTACGAAGGGTGTTCAAGGTTTAATATATTTGTATAAAAAGTAACCTTTATCTATATACTAGTATTAGTACCCGCGCGATGCGCCAACAATATTAAAAGAAGCTAATCATGTAAAATTATAATTTTTTATTGTAACCATAATTCTAAAAAACGATCTACACTGTATCCCGTAGAGATTAATTTGTGAATGTTACATTCCATCTTTACTGCCAAACAGTGAAGTTTTTGTATAGTCTCCATGTTATAGCCGACTGTGCAACAATGGATCAACCATCTCCATGTTATAGCTGCTATGTTGGCAATGATTTGAAAAGGTGAATTGATCCATAAAAACATTACTAAGATGCATTATATTGTTTTTAAAAGATTTGCATAGCCTTCTTTATTCTGCCTCAGTTGACATATCCTGTTAATTTCATGAGGATAAGATGTCATTAGAAACTATTTCATACCAGTAATGGCATATACGGAATTAAAATATCTGGTTCATACAAAAAATTACTACTTGCTATATGCATTTGAGTAAATATATCTCATTTAAAGTCAGCAACTCATGAATTTTCCTCTAGTTTGAGCACTCTCTTGATCTTGTTGCTAGTGAGTTGTGCATCGTAAACAACTTGTGTAACAGATGCTCCAATCTCCGATATACTCCTCTTGATAAAGGTCTTTAAAGCAGATATCATCTTTTTTAGCAACAGCAGCAAGAACTATGCATGGTTAAATACATCTCAAATTAGCTTTTATCACCCAATAAATAAATAATAAAATTGCCATTTGAAATATACGGAATAGAAAACACACGAATTGAATGAAAACCACATAATATAAGAACACAAGATTAAAGGAGCACGGAAAAAGAAAAGACCTTGCTGGTTTATTATTTGACATGATAGTTTATAATCTATAATGATTAAGGAATAAGTCTGCAATACATGGTATCAATGTAACATCTGAATAGTATAAGCTGCATATTCACTCATTTGGAAACAATGTTGTATGCTACCACAACTGTCTTGTTTATGCCGAATTCATTCTCATATAGTTAGTAACTGACGATTTTTTAATTCTTCTGAGAGGTGGAAAAAGTATGTTGAGAAAACTATCTGCAATTAGCAAGAAAATAATTAAGTAGGCATATATCTTCATTTACAAATTAAACCTCTTGACATATATATATATATATATATATATATATATAAAATATAGGGGCTCAATCTCTATAGATTCTAATACCTACTACGTTCTAGCATAATTAGTCTACAAAAATGATTTACTGTGTCTAAAAATTTAATTTGCGATAGAGGACATTTTTAGATTAAGAATGTCGTCTCCAAATATAAGAAGCCTTAATTCTTACATCAGCTTGTAGTCCATCAAAAATTAAGCACCATGATTTAGTGAAACCATACAATTATCGATTGACTCCATCACACAAAGTCACAAACCTTTCTATTTTTGCCGTTACTTTCAATCTTCCTTTATTCTTCTTCTAGTATAATCAGTATCTAGGTTATTTATTTGTCCTCTAGCGGTTCTTGTTAAAATATTTTTTTACAATTTTTTTGTTTGAACTAAAAGGAAAAAACGTGAAAACCCAGTAAAACTCTTTTAATTCTATTTCAAACACAGAAACACTTACACACGCGCGGCAGCGGAGCTAAAATTTTTAGTACACACATTACTTGATGAAAAGACAACACAACTTGAACCTCCAAATTCTCTAATACAAATAAAAAGATGAAGATTCTAGTCGAAATATTGAAAAAAATAACGATAGATAAAAAAGCATGCATCTTTTCATCTTGAATAAATAATTCAAGCGAGAAAATGTTGTGCCGTTTCTCATGTTCTCGAATGTGCTATAATCTCACACTCAATATGCCTTAGAGTATGTTTGATAAAAGATTTGTTTGCACTGAACTATATGTAAGGTCCAGTCACACACACACACACACACACACATATATATATATATATATATATATAAATATATATATATATTCAATGTACTTAAGCCAATCTCTACGAAGTAATTTTGTTAAAATCTTTTCAGTTTCTATATATATATATATATATGTAAAGTATATAATATATTTTCTCAAAATATTTTCTGTTGCTATAAATAAGGAGAAAATACGTGTGCTTAGGTGCATAAACGTTTTGGGGGGGAAAAATTCCAAAAAAAAAGAGCTGAATTATATATATATATATGTGTGTGTTTGTAAGGTATATAATATATATACTCATAATCTTTTAGTTACTATAAATAAGGAACAACATAAGTGTGCTGGAAGTGCATAAACTTTCTGAAAAGAAATTTCCATAAAAAGAGCCGGAAAATGCATGTTCTATTTTCTCTATAGAACCGGAAAATCACCGTTTGCTTTAGAAAAATAACTATCTTGTTATAAAATAAAAGCGATTTAGTAAACATGAACAAGAAATATAAGCAATTTAGTAAAACATGAACAAGAAATGGAGATAGAGAGAAGGAAGAGATTTTCTTCTTCAATTGTGTGTATTTTCCTATCTATTATAAGACCTTTATATAGGCATAAAAAGTGAAGAAAATATGTCATTGAACATACAAAATATGTCATTGAATATGTCATTAAGCATTTGAGATGAAGATCATGGAAGAAGAGTAAACATCCACCATAATGTGGTATTTATCATAACACTCCCCCTTGGATGTCCAAAGATAATGTGTCTCGTTAAAACCTACTAGGAAAAAACCCTATGGGAAAAAAAATCCTAGTGAAGGAAAAAGAGTACACATGTTTAGAAATACGCCTTTTGATTGCCTCGTTAAAAACCTTGCAAGGAAAACTCAGAGGGACAAAACCTTGTAAGGGAAAAAGAGTACAACGTGTATTAACTCCCCCTGATAAAAACATCAATTCACATCCTTGATCATTCACATCCCAATCTTGTACACTAGTTTCTTGAAGGTTGACGTCGGCAGAGATTTGGTGAACAAATCAGCCATATTATCACTTGAAAGAATCTGTTGCACATTCATATCACCATTCTTTTAAAGATCATGTATGGAAAATAACTTTGGTGAAATGTGATTTGTCCTAACTCCTTTTTATGAATCCTCCCTTTAATTGGGCTATTCATGATGTGTTGTCTTCATACAAAATTGTGGGTAGTTTGTAACACTTCAAATCATTTTTGGCTCGAATAAGATGTATTATAGACCTCAGCCATACACATTCTCGACTTTCTTCATGAATAACAATTATCTCAGCATGATTAGATGAAGTAGCCACGATTGATTGCTTAGTCGATCGCTAAGATATGACAATACCTCCACATATAAATACATAGCATGTTTGAGATCAAGCCTTGTGTGTATCATATAAATACCCCGCATCGGCATAATCAACATGATCGGAATTGCACTCATTGCCATAAAATAAGCCCACATCGGTAGTCCTTTTTTAGATAACACAATATGTGTTTGATTTCATTCCAATGTCTCCTTGTAGGAGCAGAGCTATATCTTGCTAAGACATTAACTGAAAAAGTTATATCACGCCTTGTAGTGTTAGCAAGATACATTAGTGCATCAATTGCACTAAGATATGGTACTTCAGGATCAAGAAGTTCTTCATTATTTTTATGAGGTCGGAATGAACCTTTATTTATATCAAGTGATCACACAACCGTCAGGGTACTCAATGGACGTACTTTATCCATATAGAATCGCTTTAAAATATTTTCAGTGTATGTTGATTGATGGACAAAAATTTCATCTTTCATATACTCAATTTGTAGACTAAGATGAAATTTTATCTTTCTAAAATCTTTCATTTTAATTTTTT